GAAGCCAGAAATACGAAATAAATCAAATTCATTCAAAGTTCATTCAAATTCAAAGTTTATTTGCTTTATTTCTGTTACAGTAAATGTTCGAAATTATTTTATTTTTTTGTATAAATGAAAATAGTGAAATAATTGCTGTGAGAATTCTAGTGGAATTACTTTTAAACCAATTCACCGATCTAGGGAATTGATTAAGATTATGAAATCCTGTTAATATAATTAAACTGAATACACGTGTGTGTGTGTGTGTATTGACATAGAAAGGTTCGACGTATCCGAGGAATGATAAGAAGAAGATTGCATTGTATCCGTCGGACTATAGTTATAAAAATTTCTCAAGTCTTAACCATTTCCTTTCTACAATTTCACCCTTTTTCCCGGACTAATCGAAACTTTTCAAATAAGAATGAAAGGATCCTAACTAGTCGAAACTGAGACGTGTATCTGGTTGACATTTCGAGAAAGCTGGGTCGCCGAACGGATACGAGGCTCAGACGTGAACGAACGGTACGGGACGGGAATTAGGAAGGGTGAGGAGCAAGTACGAGCGGAAAGCACGCGGAGAGGCAAACGTAAATGAAATAGTTGCGTCAGCGTCCTGGGGGCAAAGGAGAAGGTAAGAGCCATGGAACTTGGACACATTAGTGAATTAGTTACGTTAGTGGTTTGGGATTTAGTTATCTAATCAAGAGACGAAGAGTGAAGGCTGCTGCAATTGATGTAAAAGTAGAACTTCCTTGGGACCAATTACGTAGCCGTGGTTCAAGCAAAACTTCTCTGTCGTAACCAACGTGGGGTTAAATGCATTACGAGGCGAATAATTTTCTTAGGGTAACCAAGAAACCACCCCTATGGCGTCGATCATTAAATATCGAACCACAGTGTATATTTTATTATTTAAACGAATGCAAATCAATAAACATCGTAAATTATTATTAAAAAGCTTCAATCTTCTTTAAATTATTTTATTTCATCGGAATTTTATGATGATTTAATTTAATTGAATTCGGGAATTAATGAAAATTGCTTCTTTTTTTTTTTTATTCAATATTTAAAGTAAATAAAATTATTATATAAGTAAAATTTTTATTGAATGATTTTAAATTATTTCTGATATTCCAAATTGAAGCCGGATTAATTTT